ATTATCATAAAACAATCACCTGAGCTGCACAACTACGACTTAATCACCAAAGCAACCAACAGTGTAGAATTCTACGACTTGTTAACATGGGGTTGCCGGGATATAAAATTTCCCCGTAAAAATCACTGATTCAGAGATATTGTTCGGTAAATAGTCGGCCACTTGCAGAGAAATTAGTTAGTTAGATCGACTTACTGCCGAGATATGATAAAAAATTGTGTTAACATTGGCTTTAATACAAAATATTTTAATGCATAAAATTTCTGTTCATATAATTTAATTATAACTCTATTCGGAATAGCATGAATATATACTTGTTGCTCAAAGGTCTACAACGTGTCATTTCTCAAATAAAGCCAATCATGAATTGTTTAAATTTGTTGGATTATGAATCTTTTTTTAATTATAATTAAATTTAATAAGCAGAAAAATAGTTTTTGTTTTATAGTATCGGCATATTTTAACAAATTGTTTGAAGATTCGTTACTCGCTATTGGGTTGTACAATAGTTTTAAGTATAAGAAATTTTAACTTATAGTTTTATCACGCACACGGAATATATTTTCCGTGATTGCTTAATTTCTATTAATTTAATAATTTATACAGTTGCTTAATTAGTGTGTCGGAGAGCAATTTACGGCAATCAAATACAAAAACGTCTAAAATTACATTCTGATATTCGATTTTTTCATTGACATTTTCCAGCAAGTAAATGGTCATGTTGGTAGGAAATACTTTTTACTCTGATATTTGCCAACAACAATATCTGCAGGCTTCAATGTCACACAAATGATATTTATAAACTAAACTCATTCTTTGTCATCGACTCCTGAATCATTTAAGGAACTATAGACATTGTTGCTTTGAAAAATGAAAGTATTTTCTCGCCTATGCGCAATCTGCGTGGGACAAAAAAGCGTTGCACTACATAGAAATGTAATAGAAAGTTCATAAGCATTTCCGAGTAAGTTAAAGTAAAAAGTATGAAATTATAAAAAAACCTAATACAATTTCACAAATTAAAGATGCCTGGTAGCTTTGAGGCCTAAATTGACGTATATCCCGCCAGCAACTTGTATAACGAATGCATAATATTGCAGATTGCTATTGACAACAAGATGATAAGCAAATCAAGCACTTTTAGACTTCCTGTCAAAGACGCGCGGGAATAAGATAACGTTAGACGTTCGCCGGCTACGCAAACATTGCGCAAAAGAAAGAAATTCAAGTATAAAGTCATATAGTAAATCTATAATCGTTTAACAAACTTACATACACATTTTGATGTTCAAGTTCTTGGGATACTTTACACGTGGATGCAATCAGATAGATCAACTTGATCAGTTTTATGCTTGTCCATTCCACAGGAAATCAGGATCTTAACTGACAGGGAATACTGGGACGTCCCATTTCACCAAGTTAAACACCACTTTTTTTCGTTTAGGGCAATGACCACCACACTCCTCCCCGTCCTATCTGGATAGGCGTGCTGTAAGATCAGACCTTTCTTGTATCTAATTGAGCACTCAATATGAGCCTATTGAATGACTACCTGAATTCTTACCAGTACTGGTACTGTACATGTACTAAATAATTAGGTAATTATCATAAAACAATCACCTGAGCTGCACAACTACGACTTAATCACCTGAGCAGCCAACAGTGTAGAATTCTTCGACTCACTGAATCACCTGAGGTGTACACTATGTAGAATGTATCAGAATGAATTGTTACCAGTAGTACCCAGAAAAGAATTAACCAAAACTAATATCTAACAGTCACCAACAAACTCAGAAACCTCCTTTAGGTCTAATTGATTCACTGAAGACTTATCTCTTACTACTGTCAAAACACTCTAACACACTCATGCACTGGTTCAAATTCAAATGCAAGGATATGCAGCCTATGTCTAGTTACTACTGCAATATCTTTCACATCTACCAGCTTAATAGCATGAGCATCCTGAGAATTAAACCCCAAGCGTAATTAAAAGAACAAAGACTCCTGACTCAGATTTATATTAAATGTCCAACAAGTAGCAACCTCCACACACAAGCTGTGAAACAACATTAAAATGTCAACACTGAATCATAAACCTCCAGTTTTATTTTCTTACCTCCCCAAAAAAACAACACATTTCCTTTGATAACTGTTAAAACTCTGACTTTGTTTCAAGAACGTAAACTAACATACTACACCATGACAATTACTACTTCTGTTATACAAGATGCTAATTCTATTTCTGCCATAAGAAACAACTAACAACGCAATCCCATATTGTACTGACATTTATAATGATCACTATTATTAGAGCCTGCATCCAAATAGGTGTTCATGCAAACTGTCAAAGTAATTGCTTGTCGGCCTAACAAGCAACGTACTAAATGACATAAAAGGTCCTCCAGTACTTGCTGACCTCATTCACGGCAGTGATCTTTACTGACCAGCAAGAAGCTGAGCCTTTTCTGCTGCTACCTATACCCAACTGTTTCTAACTGGCAAGAGGCAGGATTTAAGTCCCTAAGTCTTATTCTCACTACAAGGCATTTCCCTAAAGTTGATTTCTTACATGGCGCTCTGGGTCCAATCACCCTGATTACAACCTGACTTCCCGGATCAATATCCTACCTTATATTCATCAAATTCTCTTCTCTCACTTAGGTATTAAAAGAACAACACATTAGAATAAACATGATTTTGAGCCAACATTGTAGTCTTAATTAAAACTTTAAGGACTACCCTTTGACCTTAGCTTGGTCAACCTTGAAAGCTTTTTTGTGCCCCCCACTTTATTGGCGGGCATTTAGATTTACCCTTGTCCGTCCGTCCGTCCGTTCACTTTTGTGTCGCACGTAACTCAAAAAGTATTTGACTTAGAGTCATTAAACTTTACAGGAATGTTGATCAGCATGTGTAGTTGTGCACCTGGGTATTTTTGTCTCGATATTTTTAGTATTTTCAGAGATATTGCCCTTGACTTAGCAAAATTTTGCAATTTTCAACTTGTGTCGCATGTAACTCAAAAAGTATTTGACCTAGAGTCATGAAACTTTACACAAATGTTGATCAGCATGTGTAGTTGTGCACCTGGGTATTTTTGTCTGGATATTTTTAGTATTTTCAGAGATATTGCCCTTGACTTAGTAAATTTTTTCAATTTTTCAACTTGTGTCGCATGTAACTCAAAAAGTATTTGACCTAGAGTCATGAAACTTTACAGGAATATTGATCAGCATGTGTAGTTGTGCACCTTGGTATTTTCATCTGGATATTTTTAGTATTTTCAGAGTTATTTCCCTTGACTTAGTAAAATTTTGCAATTTTTAACTCGTATCGCATGTAACTCAAAAAGTATTTGACCTAGAGTCATGAAACTTCACAGGAATATTGATCAGCATGTGCAATTGTGCACCAGGTATTTTCGTCTGGATTTATTAAGTATTTTTAGAGTTATTGCTCTTAACTTAGAAAATTTTCAACTTGTGTCACAAGTTACTCAAAAAGGATTTGACATAGAGTCATTAAACCTTATGGGCAGGTTGCTCAGCATATTTAGAGTTGCGTCTGGGGTTTCACTTGTGGATTTATCCAGTATTTGTAGAGTTATTTCCCTTGACTTAGTAAAAAGATTGACAGAACAGTGGTGCGATTGGGGCACCCGTGTCCTATGGACACATTTCTAGTTCAAACTTATTTTCAAGTTCCACAACAGCATCCCAAGTTTCCCCCAAAGTCACAGGAAAATTTTAATCTTTTCAGGAAGACTGAATAACGTAACATCAGTACTGATTGAGGGAAAACCTTCACCTTCCACACCTTTTCATAACGTTTGCTTCCGTCCAAAATATGGGGCCCTCATGGATCTGTTGGTACTTCACGGACGCACTAATTTTGGGGCTTGTTCGAAGCCGTGGATGGATCATGTATGTAAACACAAAAACCCACAAGTTGGTCCCAATAAACGCAAATGGCAAAAACCCTACATTAACCTGACTGTTATAAATGGCTTTTATCGGCTAAGGCAGCAAAACTTATGTATAAAATCATCAAAGAGATTCCACCGGGTTTTTTGGACCCAAGCTTTGGGACAAACCCAAATTTTTACGAATATAAAATTTTTTTATTCCACTCACCTACACAATTCTATAATATTGTGCCTAACAGTAACTTCAATAGGCAATATTAAAAGAATATTGCGCTTTGAATTATGCAATTCAAAAAAAATACCGCACCTAAATGAGCAATATTTTGTTAATATCACACTTCAAAAATCCTCTGCAATTTCCTTTCAAAAATTGTTAGGTTTTGGGGATAATAATAGAAAAAAATGATAACGTTATCAAATATCCTTAAAAGAAACCACAATGGTACGATTACCTTAAGTTGGAACAGCGACTGGTAGTGTCTTAAAAATTAAACACAGACCCCAGCTAGAATCGAATCACCCCTGCCACCATTATAGTCAATCTATAATGGTATAAAAAAACTTACATAGATTTTCAAGTTCTTTGGATACTTTGACACACGGATGAAATTAGATAGATTAATCTGAGCAGTTTTATGTTTGTCCACTCAAAAGGAAACCAGGATGTTAACTGACAGGGAAAACTGGGACGTCCCATCTCACCAGGTCAAACACCACTAAATTTCGGTTAGGACAATGATCACCACAGTCATCATAGCGGTGTAACTTTTAACAATTTATTTGAAATAATGTCTTTCGAATCGAGAAATATGCCATTAAGAACAAAAAGAAATTCTAAATTTTATGCACCGTCTACGATGAAGAAGTACTTTGTTATTTGTGCGCAGGTATATTTAGCATCGTAAAGAAAGTGTTTAAGCCAATTCAGAATTCAGATTATTTATTTGTATTGTTATAGATATATGTATTCAGGAGACTAGCGGGGAGAACTGCAATAGATAATCTTTTTTTTATTTATTTCAAATGTCAGTTATGTTTATATAAACTTATGTGTACAATGCATTTTTGGTCACAGAGAGACAAGAAAAACAGAGCAAGTGGCCACCAGGTCCATACGCCATACCAATGTCGAGGTATGGTTGTCCGGAATCATGGTCTCGTGGATGGTCAAAAGGCTTTTTGAAGATCAACATGACCGTTTTAGATAATAGTCTTGAAAGTAATTCCTCTGTTTCGGAGTATAATTCCGTGAACATGTATGAAAACCATGACTTTTTCAATTCACCATTTCGATCTGAAGATGTGAAGATTTATTTTTGCGTGAAATTCCGGAATGAAGTCACACTTGATCAAGAACAATGGATTCCAGGAAACTACAGTATTTTTAAGATTGGGTCATCGTGTCCTACAGGTTAGTATACATTAAAATCTTTTTCCTACTTGAATAACGAAATTTAATTAAGCCGGTTATTGCCGGTATGTCTGAGATTGCACGTTCGGTTAGACTCAATGAAACGTGTCTGTCAGTTTCTTTTCCTTATTCAGTTGCTCTTTGCTCAGGTATATCTGCTAGAATGTCAAACGAGCAGTGAATGACCATTTTAATCCCTCTATCATTATTTTTCTAGATTTCGAAGAATCAAGCAAAACACTTCCTGTACCTAGCCATGTGTCGTATGGACTCGTTCCTAATATTACAGTACCGAAAGGTTTGTGTGCTAATCACATTACTTAATATTTGTTTCGTGATCTTTTCTGCTGTGTCGAACAAATAACAGTTATAGAAAGTTTGCTAAAAGGGCGAGTTTTCAAAGAGAAAAATAAGCATTTAAACTGTTTGTATCATTTCGTGCTACATGATATTCTTCCATTTGACATCTAAATGATAAAACGCCTTGTCCCTTTAAGCAACTGCAGTGAGGTCGAAATCTGAAAACATTAAAATAAATCTTACATTGATCAACTTGGGCATTTAAAAGAGAAAGATTTGCAAGAAATCATTAAGAAATGTGCTCAGAAATGAATTGAAAATCGAATTTGTGTGCTATTCTAATATATGTTGCAGTGAAAAGTGGTGTTAAGATTCTCAATTTTGGTCAAATTTTACAATTAGAATGATTATAATTATATTTTCTGAAACAGTGGGGTAAGCCAGTTATCTTAAATTTAATTTTGCACACAGGTTATTGGTCTAAAACTACATAAAATGGAACATTTTTCTCGGGAAATTATTTCCAGTTATAGGCCTGTTGTCAAAAATAAAATCTGTTGAGCCCTTTTAACGTAGGCTGCGTTGCATTTTTATTACTGATCTCTTATACATCAGACTGATTATATTATTTCTGTAAGTTTTGTTAATGGTTTTGTTTACTATGTACACTATTGTTATAAATATATGCCAAAGAAACACATTATTTTATTCTATTAAAGGTTCATCGGAAGAGTTTATCAACATTTCCATGTGTAAAAGAAAACAATTTACTGACACGAGAGACAACAACACAATTGTAACATTCAAAATGTTGGAAACCGATTTTATTCTTGAAAAGGCAATGTTAAATTATTTTCTTTTTTCTATCACTTTAATGCAAAGTGCAATATTTACAATTGTCGGCAAACTTAAAGATATAGATTTAGGAATTTGATATCACTCAAGGATATCAACAGCTATCGGAATACATACATGTGTTTTCTTTGTTCACAGTCTGAATCATACTTTCTTCTTGGAGGGAGGGTGAGGCAGGGGACAGCGACAGGGGATACATTAATACATTATGTCCTTTAAAGAACAAACCCCATTTTTTTCTCAAAGTTTTGTTGAATTGTAATATATTTTCATGAATTTAAATAAAATATTGGGGATTGACCCAATAAATTTATTTTTCAAATGTTTTAAGATTTAAAAGTAAAAACAATCTTAAAAAAATAAAAAAGGCTTTTTCCCCTTTTTTTAAAAAAATTTGAAGTTTATTTGGGTACTTTTGAAATGAAATTTTAGCAGTAAAAAATAATTTTTTAATGGACGAAATGGTTTTCCCCTTTTAAAGAATTGATTTTACAACAGGCCGTTTGGCCCTTAAATTTATCTGTATCAAATTGCGAGCGTTTTATTTCCTGTGGCGTGTTTCCCCGGCCCCAAAACCCCTCTTTTTTTAGCGTCAAAATGTTGTAAAAAAAGGAATTCATTATACTTTGTGGTCAGCTTAAAATTCACCATTTTCATCGTAGCATTAGTTTTATCTCCACCTCTTATTTCCTCCACCCAATAATTAGTGTAGATTATGTTCAATGTCTAACTTTTATTCTTCATGTTAATTTTGGCATAATCAAATATTTATTGTTACTTTATGTTTTATGATTCTAGTCTAATGCAAGGCGTATTTTTATGCCCAGATAAAACATAATAACATTTGATTGTGTACTATTTCTAGTCATAACAAAATCTAAAGGTGCACTGTATAATTTATATACCGGCTTTAATAAAAGCCCAATTACAACTTACTCATTTGTTTGTCTTTATTTATTATGTTTAACAAGCTTCGCAAATTCTAGAACCTCGTTTTATTGGACCGCTTGCTGGCCATAAACGATATTTATACAACTGTCCTTGTGTTATCGGATTTTGATTGATCTTTGCATGAATGATAGTGAAATATCAAATTGAACACAATTATGGCTAAATGTAGTTTTTTTATTTTACCTGTGCACTGACATGTCGATGGGCAAAATATCACTTTGATTTTTACAGGATCCAGATTCAAATTGCACTCATTTTGACGACGTTTCTGAAGTGTTTCAGGGAGCCATGTACTGTTTTTATAACCCATTAAGTATGTTTATTTTTATAAAGGCTTTAACAAGTAAAAAGTACTGAAAAAATATCAATTATTTTAAAATATTTAAGATATAAAATTCAGGTAATCACGAACAATTGAGCAAGTCTACATGTTATACCCTGAAAAATAAATATGTTTGTAATTTTTTAATTCCGTTTTAACATTATTTTTATTATTAGGCACATTATGCCGCAGAAATGATTATTTTTTTGCTTACCAAACAGAAGCTTAAACTTAAACATGTGTATTATAAAATTTTAATAATTGTTTAAGAACATGTTTGATGCCCATCATCTGAGGAAAATAGCGGTAAATCTTCAATTATTTGTCATAATTGAAGTAGAATGTAAACAAAGTAGTACTTTGACTTTCATGAAAAATACTTAAACAATATAACTGTACAATTTGCCACAAAGCAACGAAAGAAATCTATGGTCAAGGTATTTTGCCATTGAGCTTTTTTAAAAAAATATATCTGGACACCAAAACTTAAAAAAGCTTTTAAGAAATAAAAGTAAAAGTATTTCAGGGCATCTAGGGGCTTTAAGTCTATGTAAAAATATGTTTTCCTATAAAATGAGAGAATTAAGAATAGACCTACCTGTCAAAGTTTATTAGTACGTATTTACAAACATTAATTCGTCAGGCGCGGCATATATTTTATCCAGCTTAGCGTTTTAAATCTTTATAAACAGTCGATTTACTTGACTGATTCACAGTTTGCCGATTAACCAAAGTGTAACAATTCATTTGAAATACTGCAATTCTATTGGACAAAACGTAATTTAAAACACTAATATAACATAGAGCTCCTTATTAATTACTTTACTTGACCGGAAAGTTATATTAGAATTTTAACCATTTAATCATTATGTACAAAAAAAGAGATAACAAAACAGAACACACCACTTATTTCAGAAGTATGTGTTACGGTATACGGTATATTGGTGCAGTAATAGTTTTTTAAGAAAAGAATAGTTAATCTTATTTTTCTACTAGTTAATAACCTGTTCATAATTTGTGTTTCCTTGATGAAACTTCCCATCTATTTTCTTCTTTTGTTTTCAGACGACGGATTTGATTATGCAGGTATATTTAAATAACAGTATTTGATATATTCTACGTATAGATACTTGCTGCATCTTTTGCCATCTTAATTTGAGGCACCTTAATGGTTAATTGTTGCATAGTGGTCAGTTTATTTTATAATAACATATAGTAGAGTGGCGTCCGCAGTCGAGTGGTTAAGGTCGTTGACTACAAACCACTTGTCCATCACCGCTGTGGTTCGAATCCTGACAGAGAATGTTGATGAAACTTCCAATCTATTTTCTTCTATTGTTTTCAGGCTTCGGATTTCATGAAGGTATATTTAAATAACAGTTTGATATATTCTATGTATAGATACTTGCTGCACGCAATGCAAAATAGCTTATTCCATCTTAATATGAGGCACCTTTGTGAATGGTGACATAGTGGTCAGTTTATTTTATAATAACCTATAGTAGAGCGGCGTCCGCAGCCGAGTGGTTAAAGTCGTTGACTGCAAACCACTTGTCCATCACCGCTTCGGATCGAATCCTGACAGAGACTTTGGATTCCTTCATGTGAGGAAGTTATCCAGCTTGATTACGGAACGTCGGTGGTTCTACTAAGGTCCACGTTCGTGCCTGAAATAATGCACGGAAGGAAGGACACCTCAATCAGTAAAGCCGGAACGTCGCCATATGACCTAAACTGTGTCGGTGAGGTAAAACCCAAACAAACAGTACCTTTAGCAGAATCCATTGTTATGTATTTTTGTTGTAGGACTCTGTGCATAAGAACGTCTCTATGATATATGAAACTATCAAGCTAAAGAGTAACAATGTTTAAAACTTAAAATTAAATTGATGTTCTTTGTTCAAAAATATCAAACTCTCTGCGATAAATATACACATCCTCTCTTAGTTTCAGTAATGGTTCTAGATACAGAAAGCCTATCCAAATTACTACATGAAGGTAGGATTTTGCAATTAACAACACCTATGTTGGCTGATTTGTGACATGCCGTAGTTTCGCTCCGCTAAGATAACATAAAAATACGACAAAATAGTGACTTTGTCGATTTATCGTGTGTTTTGCACTGCACCCTGCGGAGTTAAGTACGACCAAAATGTTGACGTTGTCGTATTTTTTGTCCGGCGACCAGAATAAGAATAAGCGTCAACATGGCACGAATTAGTCACCAGATAAACCACATTGTTTCATAGATTCTGAACTAGATTATATTTTCAGTCATTCTTGTCTAATTTGTACTAGTACATATACATACATTTGATTCCAATATTTTTTTTTCCAAATACATGAAATTACATACTATAAAATTAGACGTGCGTGTTTCTTAAAAGTCTGTTCTTTATACTTATTCTGGGCAAAATGATAGACAGGAACCTATTACAGAGTTGTTGCTTTTTTTTAGAAATGGGTATGGAATGGTATTTCATTGACTGTTTGCGCTCAGTGGACGTTGGTATAATAATCATTGAGTCTTCAAGTTCAGTAAGAATGCCACCTTACACTACTGTAACCGAAAATGCGAAGCGTTAAATTGCAACCTGTCTAAACACATGTGCATTCTGTTTGCACCAAATAAATCGTTTCGCTTGATTGTGTTAACAATGGACTACTCGTCCGTAATAAGCACTGGTTAATTGTTTATTATTTAGATGTGTCATATACTCTGTTAATTGCATACGATTTTGGCCTTATTACTTTGAGTTTACATATCTAACAGTTTATAGTATTACTTATTATTTAATATACTTTGTGTCTCAATAAAAAATTTTTTGGGTCGGTTTTCAGTAAATATCATATGGCGACTTTCCAGGGTGACTGGTGGAGGAAAACCTTAAGTCCGCTCATGGCATAATTTTATGCAACGACCTTAACCACTCAGCCATGGACGACCCATGTGAATAGATAAAAAAGAGTAAAGTTTACCATATTTCACCTAACATAAAAGTAACATGCAGTGTATTGTAAATTACTTCATTCAATGTTAACATTATAAAAAGAGGCCGTTTAAAGTGTATACACACTCTAAAGGCATTAAAATCATAGATTATGCTTTCAATCATGTATCATATAATACGTCTTTGTGCTAATATAGGCATTACTGTTAAACCCCCTGTAAATCGTTTGAAAACAACACAGGTACATACAACTATTCGAGGAATGGTTGAAGTGTATGTAAAATGTACCTTCAATTAATTAAAAAGTTCAAATTTCAAATATCGCTAAACAGGAGGAAAGTAATTATGTCCAGTGTTTTGTCAATGATGTGCCCGGGAATTTACAGGAATCACGAAAATGTAACACAGACGGCATTCCCGAGATTCCTGGAGTACTTTCTTTCAGGTAATAACATTGTTTGGTTATTATATATGTGATTTTGTCACTTAAACATTTGTTAATTTTATATAGTGATGTTTTTTTTTTAATATTGCCCTTTGTGGCTGACGGGTTGTCTTTAAGGGTTGGTGGCATCATAATTGCAGCCACAGTTTATGTCTGCGTGGTCGAAAAAAACGACTAAAGGGTTCGAATTACTGGAGTCTATGCATCTCTTAGCTTCAGCAGGTGAGGTGGTTTTGACCGCTGGTGTTGCTTTTAGTTTGTAACACCTGAGGGTAGCCAAAATCATTTTCCTGTTTCGGCGCCTTATGACCTAAATAACACTGTGGCGCCGTAAAATAAAATAAAAAACTTTAACTATTAATACATCTTTGTACGAAATAGCAGATATACAATTATTGTTTTAAAACAAAAACAAAGAAACATCAAACACTATAGTTTGAATGATTGTATCCTGCCTATAAACATATATTCAATATACTCA